TAATGAGAATTAACTTGAGCTACCAAAAGAATTCATTGACTTTCCCATTTCCACCGCGCCAATGATTGGATGATCGTAACAGGAAAGCGAAATCATCAATAGCGCCAGAAAATTCTATGCCAAAATGAGCAAATCACGAGCGCAGTTGATTAAAATCATTCAAGATTTCAGTTTCATGATAACAATAACTTTTTTTTTTTCCATTTCGCAGCTGTTTGATGAAAATGAGACCCTGTAAAAATTTCTTCAGTCTTTGTGATGAAAGTGTGAAACGGCAGGAAAACGAAAGACGAAAATGAATCTCAAAACAATTTCCCCCTGAAAGTGACAAGAAGTTTCACAATTTCATTTGTGGTGTTTATAAATAAATACAAGGAGAGTCAAAATATGGCACCTACATAAAACATTTCTGTTTCGAAAACATCATCACCATCATCAACAAATGATTCCAAGCATCCAAGAACCCATGCATATGATGCACTATCAATCTGGAAACATTCAATACGGATACCAATATTCCCCAGTCTCTCCACTCTACACCACAACCTCCACCACCGCTGCTGCTGCTGCGGCAACCACAACAACACCAGGAACATCAAATGCATCCAATAGCAAAGAATTCATGAACTTTACAGCCCACTTTGTCGCACAACTGTGTCGTGAAACATGTCTCGAAGAACTGAATGTGATTCCATTTGATATGATGGAATACGTGGATCAAGTACTCTCGACAACACAAGTCTCGCTATCGATTGTGGTTCTTGCCTTATCTATTATTAAAAAGGTGCAACGGAAAGTGAATGCTGCGATTGTTGGTGGTGGGTGCTGGTGCTGGGAAAACTACAAGCTTGGCTTCATTTGGGGAATCAATGGAGGACCAAAGAAATCAAGTCTTGACACGAATGGCAAGCAAGATGAATGTCAAAACCGTATTTATTGTCTCCTTGATGATTGCAATGAAGTCTCCGAATGGGTGTTGTAACACGTTTACAAACAAGGTAAGAATTTCTGACTTTGTTACACAAGTCATTATAGTAGTTATTAATTTATTTTGATATTAACCAAAAAAAACAACTACATTTTACTTTTATTACAATAATTAGACATGGAGTCAAGTTGCCCTGATACCCTCCCAGATCCTCAATGCGTTGGAGTTGGATGTGGCGCTGTTCCTTGGATTCGATTTGTGGGATAAGGAGCCCGAATACCTGGCATGGCTGAATGTAGTTCGTAATGCCGCCTGAGCAATACAGTATCAAGGCACGAATGATGCTCTTGGCTCAGAGACAGAAGCAAGTTCTAGTTCTGCAGAGACTACAGCTTCAACAACAACAGCTCAGCAGCAGCAGCAGCAGCGACACTTTTTGCCCTCTCCTTCAGGCAGCCCTATCGCTCAAACTAATCCACACCTGAACGTCCAAATTCCCAATGTGTCTTCATTCGAGTCAACCTGCTGGTCGTCCACCTGTATATCACCGGTTTTCGAAAGCCATTAGAGTTGCTTCTCAAACTCCATACCAGCGTAAACCAGATCAAAAAAGAACTGTGACGGTTCTTCTTCCAGCTATTTATTCAAACGTACCCACAGCCATTCCACAACAGCAAAACTTCTTTCAGCTTCCCCTCCCCAATGGAATGTTTTGAAGTGTGTTATTATATACACAGATTTATTTTATTGCGTCTTGCATGAACCGAAACACTCTTAGATCCAATAAAACCGCGTCGTTTTATATTACATTCTTTTTTGTTGGAGATGGACGGAATTGTGTGTGATTTTAAAATTTAATTTTCCGACTGATTTCTCCCAGGCCACGCCTGCACCCGTTCAAAACACAAACATTCTCCGGAAACGCCAACCGACGGAAGCCGGACAGGAGATGGACGACAAGAAGGAGAACGCAGCGTCCTCGTTCAGCAGCGACAGCTTCTTTGTGGTTGGACACTTTGCGCATTGTTCGCCGCTGCAGCTCCCGAAGGCGGCGCACCAGCTGCAGCACCTCCAGCAGCAGCTGCAGCTGCAGGGGGGCCAGCGGCACTTTCTGCACGGCCACTCGCCGCTGATTGACCGCGACAGCAACGCCGACTACGCCTTCCACCAGCCGTCGCTGCTGGTCCTCGACAGCGCCAGCGCCGGCGCCGCACACAGGCCGCACTCGTTCGGGCACGCGCTCGGGCTCGGCCGCCCGCGCCTGAGCAGCGTGTCGTCGGCCCGGTCCGCAGCGTCGACGGACTCGTCGCTCTCGCACTCGCACTCGCACTCGCACGCGGACTCGCACGCGGACGACTGGCTCAGGCGCGTCGTCGAAAGCGCGGGCTCGATCGCGGCGGTGCAGCATCAGCAAGAGCAAGAACAACAACAACAACACCACGACCACTTTGACCACTCCGAAGACACGGAAGAGCTGTTCCGCCGCACGCCGCCGCTGCTGCTGACGGCGTCGGAGGACCAGTCGGAAAGCAGCGTCAACTGGAACGACTCGGACCACGGCGACGGCGACAAGGGACGGGCTCCGAGGCCGAGGACGACGACGACGACGACGGCGGCGACAACCTGCTGCTGCGCGTCGGATCGCACGCGTCGGCAGCGTCCTTCTTCAATCAGCTGCCGGCATCGGACCGGCGCGTGTGTGGCAACAGCAACAGCAACAACAGCGTGGATTCCGATGATGACGATGACATGACACCGCCTGCAACTCGATCAACCGTGAAAAACATTGCTTCTTATTCTTCTTCTGCTCGGCCCTTGGGCTCACCCACGTCAACGCCTGCTGTCCCTATACCAGGTTCTTCAACATGTCTTGTTTCAAAATCAACATCCTCCAGTGTCAAGAGCAAACGACATGTCCATTTTGAGTCGTCAGTCAATCCTCTTGATCAGCAGCAACAACAACAACAACAGCTTCAACCACCGAAACCATTCACGTCTGCTTCTTGGGCCACCGAGGACTGCTTCCACAGGTCATCCTCGTCTTTATCTTCAGATTCAGCTTATATCCCATCACCTTCCCTTGTGAATCGAAGTACCAGCAGGAAAAGAGTGAATCTTTCAGGATGCTCCTCGTCAGGCTCTATTGAAGGCTGCTTCTTTTTCTTGTAGTCCAACCAGACCAGAATTGTGGTAAGTGGGATTTTATTTTTATTTTTTGGTTATGTCAGTCTAACCATCCTAACAATAACAAAAAAAAATTAAAAAAAAAAGGGGCGGAGGCGATAACGGAGGCGGCCCGAAAATCATCCCCGAATCATTCATTACTTTTAGCAACACATACTATGGAAGCGTATGCAATGCCCAATCCATGGCTGGAACTCCTGAAGACTTGTTTCTGAAACTGGAAGAAAAGGAATTACGTCGACTTCGGACTTTTACTCAACAGCAACAACAGAAACAGCAGCAGCTCAAAATGGAGCTTTTGAAGAATCAGGCCCATCTCCACCGTCACCATCACCATCAGCAGCAGCAGGAGACGACGACGACGATAGCTTCAGTTGTCCCTCGAACGATGCTTGAATACGTTCCTGGAGATGTAGCTGCGTATAAATCGATTTTGGAGAAGCAGAAGCGTGGAGAGAGTATAGGATGCGGGGGCCGGTTACTTGGATCTCAAGCGGGAGATGCCTTGAGTCAGTCACTTAAAGAATCAGCAAAGTCTTGGACTCCGTACTCCACCACCACCACCGCCGCCACCATTATGACGAATCCTACGCGAGACTCTGCCAAAGATGTCGGCTCAATGGATTTGAATGAAAACATGTCCACCCACAACCAAACAACCACTCTGGATCAGAACAGTGTTCTATCATCAACGACAACAACAACCAACACTCACCAACCAACAATCAAACCCATCATTGTGAAACGAATGCTTGTAATGGGATTCGACACCTCCGAAGACCCACTTGAAAGCTCCGCACCCTCTGCCGTTGAAACAAATCGACCCCCCTTGATCCCACTTCCATCGCAACAACAGCAGCAGCAGCAACAGCAACAAACAAGACAGCAAAAGAGACAGCAACGACGCGTTCAATTCGCGAGTCAAGTTGAAATCCAATCGCGATCCATGTCGTCGACTACAGCAGAAGAAGACTACGACGACGATGAAGAAGGGGTGTTTGAGGTGGCCACGGCGCCGCTGGATGGGTCTTCGGATACAGTTAAATTCCGGGAATGGAAGCGGCGGAAGCGGCGGGCTGAGCGGTTGTGGCGGTATCATGAGATTATGGCGATTGATGAGGATGTATGTTCTTTTGGTAGTAATGCGGGTCGATTTGGTGATGGTGGGAGGTGGAGGAGGAGTCGGTAGGTTTGGGTTGTTTGGGGGGGAAAGAGAAAAGTTGAGGATGGCGGGTTCGGAGAAGGAGAGTTCGAGTTGGTTTTGTGGGTGGATGGGTGGACCATTTTCATGCTTTGGGGGTGTTGGTGGTGGGTACGACGGCGAGCAGCACAATTTAAATGGTTCTGCGAATTCATCAACGCATCTCTTGGGTGGTAGTGGCGGGACGGCACAAATGTCGTATCAATCTTTTGAACACTCTGCACCACCGTTGACCAACTTTCGTGGTTTGTTTGTACATGATGATGAAGAAGAAGAAGATGAGAAGAAGACGGCTTTCAGAAAGCCAAAGAACAATGCGTTACGGTGGTCTGATGACGAATCTTCGGACAGTGACAGTGATGATGACTATTGATTAATGAGAGGACAATTACGTCCGTAATTGGTTGTGTATGTTCTTTTTTTTTTGCATTATTCTTTTTTAGCCCTATAATTGAATAGAGATAATATTATTATTATTATTATTATTGGTTGGCTTTTTTTTGTTTTGTTGTAAAATGAATTTGTTTTTTATTTGTGGGGTTTGTACACACATAGACACGCACACCCACACACCACAACGATGCTTGTAAGGATGTCAGACGCGCGATTACAAAACTGCTGCAAAGAAATAATACTGTGGTTAAATATCGATGCAGACTCAATTTATGAAAACCTCTTCATGGACGTGCACTAATAGTTTAGTGGTTAGAATCACCGCTTCCCAAGCGGTGGACCCGAGTTCGAATCTCGGTTAGTGCATGCACAATAGTCCTTTTGGTTGGGTAGGGGAGGTGGGAGGGAGTGCTTGGTTTTAAGAATTGTCCCTGTGACTCAACCAAAAAAAAAAAAAAAAAGAAAAAAGGGCCATTTGAATGATTCCTTTTTTGCGGTATTTTTCTGCATAGGAATAAGCATTTACCAAAACCTATGCGTCCAAAAAAAACCCCCTTGAAATAAAATAAATATAATTGCCATGCCCCCGCAAAAAAAAGAATCATCAGCCTTCAGCAAATGTCAGAAAGAGAAGTCGAAAGTGGATTCATCAATTGTGAACCGTCTCGACGACATCCAAAGAGCTGCTCGCGAGCAAGAAGAGGTTGCCGCCCAAAAAACTCTTGGCCGACAAATTCGCCGTGGAGATGCAAAGACGAGAGGTGTGAAGAGAACGTATTCTGGAACTCCGCAAGGCTTTACCTTGGAAAAGCCAAGGGAGTTGATCAAGATTGAATTACAGAATCTTGGTGTAGCAATCTTGATGGAGCAACAAGAAGAATTGATTTGGAACAAAAGGAGCTCTTGAGGAAACTGTTTTCAAAATAAATCAACTAGTCTTTGTCAGTCTCTTCAGGTTTTTGTTTTATTTGCTTCTGTTCTTGTTTTCTCAAATCACGGCTTGTGACAATTTATGGAGTACGTCCCACACGACAGTGACGGCCGCCCTCTCGCGCCGCCGTCGCCGTCGCCGCCGCTGCCTGCAACGCAGCGCACTGTGGATGCATCGCCGTCGCCATCCGCAGCATCTGATTTGTCAGCATCCATTTCGACAGCCGCGCCGTCCACGACGCAGGCGCCAAGCCTCGAGACTGTGGCGCCGCCGCCTCAGACGCCGACGCCGCTGCTCGTCGGCGCGCTGCTGGCGCTGCTTCTTGTTGCCGCCGTCGCCGCCGCCGTGCTCGTCCGCCGCCGCAAGCGCGCGCGCCGCGACGTTGAGGAGGCCGGCCTGCCGTCGCCGACGCACGCTGAGTCTGAGTCTGAGTCTGCGTCCGAGTCGCGCTCTCGCTCTCCGGCGCTCGCGCCTGTTCCCGTGCCCGCACCCGCACCCGAACTCAACAGCAACCAGCAGCAGCAGTGCGCGCTGCACCCAAACGCACCAGACATCGACAAACACGCGCTCGCCGACTGCCGCATGTACCAGCGGCTCGCCGCGCAGCCGCGCCGCGCCACGCGGCGCTCGTGGACGCGCTGGCAGCCGCGCGCGTCGATGGGCCGTGCGCGCTGCACCCTGCGGCGGCGACCAGCCACACGCTGGGCGAGTGCCGCACGCACGTTGCGCTCGTGCGCGAGCGGCGCTTCGCGGAGCTTGCGGCGGCGTTCGCGGCGGCGGCGGGCGTCGCGGCGGCCGTCGACGCGGCGGCGCTCGCGTTTCCATACTTTGTGAACGAGGCCGCGCCGTGCGCGATCCACCCGACCGCCGTCGGCCCGAAGAAACACGCCCTGCGCGACTGCCACACGTACCGGCGCCTGGTCGACGCCGAAATGTTTGACGAGCTCGAAGACGCGCTGGACAAGGCGGCGGCAAAGGTCGAGGCGGTAAAGAGGGTCACGTTTGCTGCCACGCCGTCAGATCCTTCTTCGAGTCCTGTTCCCAGTGCCCAAACCAAGCCCGCGCGTGTCAATTCAGATGATTCAATTTCAATTTCAGCAGCTACAATCCAGACAAATCAATCAAACGCGTCAAGTCTCTTTTCTGGAGACGGTTATGACCCTTCCGTATCATCGTCGTACGTTGGAACAACATCAACAGGGGCACCGCCACAACGACCGCGGACGTCTATCAGGACTTCAAAAAGCGGGCGTTTGGTGGAAAAATGTCGCCACTGGCTCTCGGCCTCCACAGCGGCCTCCAGTTGGTACCAGGACGCGACCTGTACGGGAATCGCCCATTCCTTCATTATCCCACAAGAGCATGAAAAGCGACTCCAAATCTACAATGTCTGGAAAAAGTTCAGGAACAGGAGAAGATGGGTTTGTGACAGCACCAGAATACATGTCGTCGGAGGATAACGAAGACGGTTATCACACTGCCACCAGTAAGCTTACAATGAGCGATCAAGAATATTTCACTGCTACAGAAAATTAGATTAGAATAAAAGTACAATAGATTGTGTATGTATTTAAACATCATTAGCTTTGAAATCACACCCAAAAATGACCCAACCACATGTTATCCTCGGCGTAAGTTTGCTCCACCCCCTACAAACCTAACCACCGCTAACAATAATCGAAAAAAGACAATGACATTCGGATCCGGTGTCGGCGGCCGCATCCAAGACCGCAAAGTAATCCAAGAGATCCTCGACATTTTCAAAAGCCACGGCCACACGGAACTCGACACGGCCCGAATGTACTGCGAAGGAAACACTGAACAAGTATTACAAGAGCTCGGCGTATTTTCACAAGGCTTCCAAGTCCACACAAAAGCGTACCCCTTCCAACTCGGTGACCACGAACCAACCAAGCTCAAGGCAATGTTCAGAGCCTCCTTGAATGCCCTGGGCGTCCAAAGCGTCCCCGTTTTTTACCTGCATGCCCCGGATCATGCAACCCCCTTTGAAAAGACCCTTGAAGCCGTCCAGGAATTATACAAGGAAGGAACCTTCACAGAACTCGGTCTCTCCAACTACGCTGCCTGGCAAGTCATGCAAATTTACCAGATTTGTAAATCAAGGGGCTTTGTTCTGCCTACCCTTTACCAAGGAATGTACAATGCCCTCACGCGGGACGTTGAAAAAGGAGTTGTTCCCAGTGCTTGCGCGAACTGGGGATGCGGTTCTATGCTTACAATCCTCTTGTGTGGCGGGATTTTGAGTGGGATTCACAAGTTTGAAACGGATCCTGAGGGTGGTGCTCGGTTTGACCCAAACACGTCTCAGGGTGAGAGATATCGCGGGAGATATTGGAATACCACGTATTTTGATGCGGTTGAGCATGTCAAGGCTGTGGTTACCAAACATGAAGGGATGACGCTTGTGAATGCGTCGCATAGATGGTTGTTTCACCATTCCAAGATTGATCAGACGAAAGGGGATGGGGTTGTTGTTGGAATTTCGAGTGTGAAGCACGCAAAGGAGAATTTGGCTGATTGTGAGCAAGGTCCTTTGCCTAAGGTTTGTTCTCTCTTTGTTTTTTATTTTGTTTTTACCAATTTGTTTGATGTGTTACAGGATGTTGTCACTGCTTTTGACGAAGCTTATTCTCGTACCAAGTCCCTCCAAGCCGATTACTTTCGTTAAAAAACTACAAATGAAGAAGATGAATGAATAAAATAAATCCCCCCAATTTTATTATCAAAAAAAAAAAAGCTCTAGTTTTCACCCTTCCAGTAATTGTAAGTACTTGTCTCCATAAGCCTTCATATTCTCCGACAACATTTGCCATCTACTCAACAACATTCCATCCGCATTCGTTCGCTGACTTGTTCTTGCTCTGTACTTGTAGTCTTCTCTCAACCAACGCTCAACGACACGGAGCAAAGCGCTGTTGTCTTCGTATTGGTTTGTACCAGTGGCGGAACGAGTCAAGGCGCGCATTTCCTCGAGTTCTGGGAATCCACCGGGGCCTTCGATTTCTCTTACAATGTCCACCTTGCCTTCGGCCATGTGGATAACGTGGGTAGGCCATCCACCGAGACCGTCAAAGATGTGAGTAGCATAACTGTATAGAGAGACAAAAAAGGGAGGCGTATATATAAGTTTAGTAACTGCAGTGTTCCTACCAAAAAGAATAAGTAAAAACTTACACAACAGTAGCTCCACGCAACTGAGTCTCCTCCTTCAAAAAGTCAATCAAATCCTTCCGCACAAGCACATCCAAATCCACCGTCACTTCATCCAACAACAGAATATCCCAGGGTTCCATCAACCCCAACACAATCTGAACACGTCGACGTTGTCCATCAGAGACTTGGTGCATGTGCCAGTCGACATTCACATCCATAATGTCAAGGAGGCGGGATGTTCGGTCGGGGTGGCGTTCGGCGCCGAGGGTTTTGAGGAGGCGGGATACGGGTACGTCGCGGCGGACGATTGGGTTGTGGGCCCATTCGGTTCCGAGGTAGGTGATTCCCTAATAATGTGGGGAGTGTGAGTATTTTTATATTGATTTGAAATGGGAGTTAAAGGAAAAAACAAGATAATTTTTTAAGGGGGTGATTTCAAATCCAGGATGGTGGTCACTGAAAACGCAAGTTGACGTGTTTGTTGGTCATACTGAGTACCGCCGCCCATCACAACAAGCAGTCGCACGCATCCAAAATGAAAACGACAGATAAAGAAGACAATCAAAAATGTACCTGACAGCTTTCAAAGAAGGGATGCTTGCCCAGAACTCTAACGTGGTCTTTTGTGAGTGTTTTACCGGCGAGAAGCTTGAGGATTGTAGATTTTCCGGCACCGTTGGCGCCAATCAGCAGAGTAGTTGATCCCCGAGGAATCGAGAGTGTGACGTTGTCCAAGATCAGTGGTGCACCAGAGTCAGTGCTTCCAAAGGAGAAGGAGAAGTTCCTGAGCTCGACGGCAGCGTCAGTTGCTGGAATAGCTGCCATTTCGGCCTGGACACGTTGAGAGACAGTTGGAGCGAATGTCATTTGTGGGAATGATTTGTTTTTCTGCGTCTGTTACAGGTTTTGGGTCTCAACTTTATAGTTTTTATTTTTACTATTTATTTTTTTATCGATTTCAATGTTCAGCGATCGCTCAACGACAACAGATGAAGAAACAATCGCCGCGTTTCGAAGTCGACAGAAAAGAGGTTTTTTCCCTTCTATTACACCACCAAAAAACCATTTGATATAAAGTATATCTAATTTAAATCAAACTTATGTGAACCAGCGCATTCGTTCCTATCCACAGTCAACTTTGAGACGAATCAGAGAGAGTTCAAGAAAGAAGCTGGTTTAAAACACTCGAAAACCGATGCGTTTGCGGCAACTCTACAAACTGCGAATTCGCTCACACGGACTCCAAGTTCGCAGCAGGCCA